TTGTGGTTGAACATTTTGTGAAATCAAGAATTCTTCAGTGATTTACCTGCTTGCTTGTATTTTAAAGATCAGGGTTGCTTAAAGTGAGACAAAATGATACTACATATTTCTTTGCTTTTAGAAAAAGAAGCCTCACATTATCTTTTGTGACGAGTCCCCTGAGGAAACAGGGTTGGGAAGACCTTAGAACTGCCCGTCAGCCACCTAATGAGTACAAACTGGAGCCTCCGCACCAAGCGACGTTCTCACCTCACAATCTCTGATGGGCTCCTTCTCATGAAAGACTGCCTCTTTTGATTTCCCTGATTGATATTTTTTTTCTCATTTTTCAACTATCTCGATCCATAAAGAGAATTCTATTTACCAGTCTTCTCTGGAAGTCCTGTCACTCAGCTGTCATGGAGCAGAGCTGATGCCTCACTGGTGAAACTTCAGCCCCACATACGCATCCTCTGCTTACTGGGGTTGGAGCCGTGTGAAGGCCAGAAGCTCAGCTTGTCTCCCTCTGTATCTCCACTGGACTCGCAGGAGCCTCCCATGACATGGTGTGGTGTTTACATTTGTTACCTGGATGGTGCCCCCCAAAAGGACCAGGAACTGGTTACAGGTGACATGATGGGCTCACCCTGACTCCACAAGGGGACTGTGGAAACGTAGGCTATAACTTTGTCTAGGCTGATATTACAACATACCATGATCTGGGTGGCTTATAAACAATAAGAATTTATTTCTCAGAGTTCTGGGGGCTGAGAAATCCAAGATTAAGTCACCAGGAGATTTGATGTCCAGTGAAGATCCACTTTTTGGTTTATAGACTGTGACTTTTCACTGTGTCCTCCCATAGTGGAAGGAGGAAGACAACTCTCTGGAGCCTTCTTTTTTTTAGAAAAAAAATATTTATTTAATTTTATTTGTTATTATTTAATTTGACCAGAGAGAGACAGACAGAGAAAGAGAAAGGGAAAATGAGAAAGCAAACTGCCAGGTCCGGGGCTCAAACCACAGTCGGCCATGTGGGAGTTCCAACCATTATGCCACCTGCTAGCCCCTGCCTTCTTTTTTTTATTAGATTTTTGCTATAGGGCACATGTACTCACTGGAGAGAGACAGAGACAGAGAAAGGGAAAGTGAGAAATCACCCCCCACCCCACCCCAGGGGGATAGCCATGCCATAATTCCCTTCTCTATTCTTCTTTGGAATTTTTAGACACATACACACATTCCCAGCATGTTTTTCCTTTTCTTTTCTTAAGATTTATCTATTTTTAATTTTTAAAATTTTATTTATTATCATTATTCTTCAATTTTAGACCAGAGAGAGAGAGAGAGAGAGACCAAGAGAAAGGGAAAGTGAGAAAGCAAGCTGTCAGGTTCGGGACTTGAACCATGGTCAGCCATATGGGAGTCCAGCACCTCAACCACCACCCCACCTGCCACCCCCCGCCCAGCATGTTTTACAAACTGCCCGGTCCAAGATTTGAACAGCATAGTCGGGCAAGTGGGATATAGCACTTTAACTACCATGCCATCTGCTGGATCTCTGGAGCCTTTAAAAATTTTTCCCCCTTTACTCATGATAGAGTATGTGCATGGGGGTGGGGGGGAGGAAACAGAGGAAGCACCTCATAATGGTCACACCACAATCCTTCTTTCTCCAATTCTTCATCCTCTCAAGATCCTGGTCGTATGTGGTCACTCATTACTTTCAGGGCTGGGATTCAAACCCTATCAAGCCATGTGATATCTGGCCTCCTCTGTATGGTGCTTAATTGCTGCACCACAGGGGCAGCCCTGGAGCCTCTTTTATAGGGGCACTACCCCCATTCGTAAGGATTCTACCCTCATAATCTAATCACTTCTCAAAGGCCCCACCCCCAATACCATCAATTTGAGGATTAGGTTTCAACGTATGAATTTTAAATTTTATTATAGGTTGTATGCACTTACCAGAGAGAGACAGAGGAAGAGGGAAAGTGAGAAAGCACTGCCAAGTGGGAATGGCTATGCCACAGTCCCTTCTCCTCCGTTCTCCTTTTGGGGCTTTGGGCATGCATGCACATGCACCTGTCATGGTTTTTTAGCCTCCGGGTCCAGGACTCAGACCTTATAGTCAGCCATGCGGGATCCAGCTGCCTTAACCACCACACCACCAACTTGTCCAATGACATATGAATTTTTTTAAAAAAGAATTACTTATTTACTTAATTCCAATTGTTATTATTATTGTTTTTAAATTTAACCAGAGAGAAACAGAGAGAGAAAGGGAAGGGGAGAAAGCAAGCCATCAGGTCTGAGACTCTAACAGTGGTCGGCCATGTGGGAATCCAGTGCCTTTTACCACCATGCCACCTGCTGGCCCCGAAATATGAATTTTTAGGGGTTGCAAACATTCAGACCAAAGCAGACTGGCCTTCTGGTTTCTGAGGTTTCCCTCTCTCCTGAACTCCTGCAAGATTCTTTGACCCAGCCTCATTACCCCTTATTAACAGCGCTTTCCTCTTGCTATGTGTGTGCACATATGTATGTATGTATGTATGTATATATTAATAGTCTGCCTAAATTTCCATGTTTAATATGTCTCCAGGTTAGGTACTGGGCCCTAACCCATATTCAAATCCCTTACTCTGGGACCAGCAGTTAGCGTAATGGCTATGTTGCTGGACTCCCATGTAGTCAACCGTGGTTCGAGTCCTGGACCTGGTGGCTTAAACTCACTCCAGGTGCATGTGTGTGCATGCCCAAGATCCTGAGAGGAGAATGGAGGAGAAGGGATTGTGGTGTGGCCATCCTCCCTGGGGGTGATTTCTTGCTTTCTGTCTCTCTCTGTCTTTCTGGCGAGCACACGTACCCTATAGCAAAAACCTCTCAAAAAACAAAACACAACAAAACAAAAAACAAACAAATAAACCAAATCCCTAATCTAATCCAACCCCTAACTGTACCCCTGACCCTGATCCTAAACCTAACTCTGAAATTGCAGTCTAGCACACATCACTACTTACATGAAGTCTTTACAAATGTTTGCTTTTCATTATGATGATTACTATGATCTTGACATAATTAAGATAATCAGAAACTAAAACAGTCATACATTTCATTTATATTGTATCATTCAATGAGAATTATAGTTTAGAATGAGCATCTTTGGCACTGAAAAAGCCAAAAGATGAAAAGACCTTCAGTAAAATTTAAAATGTATTGTCTCTTATTGCTATGGCAATTGATCTATAAAGAGTTAAGCTAACCTTATCAATTAACTGGAGTAGCCAATTGATCAGCATTAACACTACACCATTTGCCAATAAAGCTTGTTTCTTTTTTCTTTTTTTGTTCATCTTGGGACCAACAGATGGCCTAATGATTACATCAGTGGACTCACACATAGAGGACCACAGTTCAAGTCCTGGACCTGGCAACTTAAAACTCACACTGGGCCCAGTGCATACATGCCCAAAATCCCAAGAGGAGAATGGAGAAGAGTGATTGCACCCCTGGGGGGCGTGATTTCTCATTTTCTGTCTCTGTCTCTGGTGAATGAACACACCCTAAAGCAAAAATCTCTCTTAAAAAAAAAAACAACAAAACATCATCTTTTCATATTCTGCTCTCATAGGATAATTTATAGATAATTTACAACAAAAAATAAATGAATCCACTAATATAATCAGTACCACTTAATACCACACTCTACATAATGTCTGGGCTACATAATTTGAAGAGCTCCATGCAAGATAAAAATGTGATGCTCATTGTTATTAAGAATTTCAAGAGGCCAGTAGGTGGCATGGTAATTAAAGTGCTGGATTCCCCAGGGTAGTGGTTCAAGTCCCAGACCTGACAGCTTACTTTCTCATTCCCCACACTCCTACTCACACCTCTCTCTGGTGAGCACACATGCCCTATAACAAATTAAAATAAATAAATAAATAAATAAATGGAAAAATAAAGGAATTTTGAAGATGATAACAACAGACATCAAACCAGGTGTGGGGCTCTCTAACTCTGGGTCATTCTGAAGTTAGCCCTACTCACTTCACTAGGTCCAGGAAGGTGTAGCAAATTTCCACTGATCTACAGCTGATGAACTCTGGACGAGGGTTAGAAATCTGTCATGGGCTGGGACCAGCAGTTAGCGTAATGGCTATGTCACTGAATTCCCATGTAGTTTAGTTGACTGTGGTTCGAGTCCTGGACCAGGTGGCTTAAACTCATGCCAGGCGCATGTGCATGTGTGCTCAAGATCCTGAGAGGAGAATGAAGGAGAAGGGATTGCAGTGTGGCCATGCCCCCTGGGGGGTCATTTCTTGCTTTCTGTCTCTCTCTGTTTTTCTGGCGAGCACACACAACCCCAAAAAAAAAAAAAAAAAGAAAAAAAGAAAAAAGAAATCTGTCACAGGCGACCTGGCCTGCTGCTCCATTTGCCTTTCTGTTCTGCCCTGTGCGCCCCCCACCCCCCGTGGGCTGCAGCTACATGAACTGGACAGTCTGTGGTTAGTTATTTCTCTTCATCGGTCCAACTTTCGACCTGCTTTCTTTCCTAAGGCCATACCTGCACTTGTTTACACACAGCTTCTCCTCATTGTCAACATGACCTCTGCTTCCCTGCTTTTCTGGAAGACTCCAGGGAGTGGTGGGAAAAGAGCTAATTAGGGACATTTTGCAGATTGGGCTCCTCTCCTTGGCGCTCGGTAGCAGAAAGGATCTGTTCCCGCACACCGAATTTCTCCTCTCCTCCCTGACCCCACCATGTGAATCTGTGAGGGCAAGCCTAATGGCATTACTAAATGAGCCTCAGAACAGGCTCTGAAAATGATGGATACTAAGAAAGAGAGGGTAGGAAATTCTCAAATAACAAATTCCATCTCTTTAATCCTTAGGAAATCGGTTCCCAATCTCCTGTTCTTCTTTAATTCATCCCCATCTTGTATTCATATGTCTGTCATTTGCCTAAATTCCAGGGGTTCGAGAATGCGATAAAGAATTCTATTTCTTCTCTCGAGATGCTGGAGGAATCCCGACCTCTTTACTGTGCCAAACTCCCCAAAGCTGCTGACTCTGCTTTCACTGCACAACGGGGCGGAGATGGTCCCTTTAAGGAGATGCTACTGCCTGAGTTGGACATCTGTGCTGACCCAGCCTTGCAACTAGCCCACAGCCTAGTTTTTGAGCTTGTTAGTAAAATTCAAACACACTTGAAGAAACCCTTGATTCAATGAAAAAAAGAATAGCCAATTTGGAAGCAGAAAAATGGAAAGAACTGTCACCTACCTCCGCTCCGCTGACTACAGATGAAGAAACAGGCCAGGAGAGATTTTAAAAGCATCTTATTTAGGGCCAGGGCCAGAATGTGGCGTGGCGGTTAAGACGCTGGACTCCCATATGCCTGACTATGGTTTGAGTCTCAGATTTGGTGACCTGATTTCTCACTACTCCATCCCACCCCCCTTCTTTCTCTGGTGAGTACATGTGCCCTATGTTAAACTTAAAAAAAAGGGACCAGCACTTGGCATAAAGGCTATGTCACTGGACTCCCACGTAGTCGACTGCGGTTTGAGTCCCAGATCCAGTGGCTTAAACTCCCGCCGGGCATGCGTGTTTGCATGCCAAGATCCTGAGAAGAGAATGGAGGAGAAGGGATTATGGTGTGGTCGTCCCCCTTGGGGGTGATTTCTCGCTTTCTGTCTGTCTCTGTCTTTGTGGTGAGCACACGCGCCCTATAGCAAAAACCTCTCCCAAAAAAGAAAAAAAAAAGGTCATTTAGGGCCAGCCTGTGGCATGGTGTTTAAGGTGGCCTTATCCCACATGGCTGATTCCATGGTTCAAGTCCTGAACACTGTGGCTTGAAAAACACACTACGTGCTTGTGTGTGTGTGTGTGTGCCCACAATCCTGACAGGAGAGAGATGATTGTGATGTGACCATGCCCCATGGGGAGTGATTTCTCACTTGCTCTTTCTTTCTGTTTCTCTCCAGAAAGTGCACACACCTAGAAAATTAAATTAACTAACTAAATACATAAATAAGTCTTTTATACAATACCCCCTCTCTACCCCTCAAACTGTTAGAATGAACTCAAAGCCTGAGCCTATCTTTGCAAAATGTGCTCTACACAGTCAACAGGTAACTTTCTTGAGAGGCCTCTTTGCTGTCAGTGAGCCCCCTGGGGACATCCCAGCAAATGAAAGCCACAGCAGTATCCTTAAGGAATTTCTCTCTAAGGGTAGATGAAATAAAGATACAAACAAAGGCATAGGAACACTTTGATAATGACATGAAACAAGCTGCTAAGGCCCAAACACAGACCACAGACTCATTAGCTGTGGCAATGAGGAGTAGAATGAAAGGTTCTTGTCAGTTGACCAGGGAGGACTTCCTGCAGGAAGCACTGTTCAGCAGAGTTTTTAAGGTGGTCTGGGACAAAGTCATGCCACGGGAAAAGGAGAGAAGGGGAGACTTTCTGGAAACTGAGATAATACATTGGATTATCTAGTCAACAAGCTTTGCTTTCCCCCTTAATGACTGTAGTTCATCCATCACATACATTTTTGCTCCAATCTAAATAATTCAGACCACTTTGTCTGCATAGATACCATCTCTAGGGAATCTTCCTTAGTTTTGCAGGTGTTGTATTTATAGTTACACTGTAAAGTGCTTCTTTTTTTTTTTTTTAAACAAGGATTGTGAATATGTAATGTGAAAACTTAATTCTGGCTAAAAATGCCAAGATATGAACTCTGCTGCCTCCTTTTAGTAATTACTCATTTCCGGGAAAAAAAAAAAAAAAAAAAAAAAGAGGAGGCTTAATTTACCCCTAGGGCAATTTAAAAACACTGTTGCCAGTTAATTCCTTCCAATTTTGCTCCCTGAGTACTTTTTTCTCCCCAAGCATTTTTTTTCTCCCTTATTTGAGCCTTCATTTTAAAAGTTGTATATGCCTTCTGATTCATGGCTGTGTAGGCATTTAGTTAAAGTTAATCTAAATAAAGTTAACACTTCCTCTAAAGGCAAATATACTTTGTCTTTCTGGGAATCTCATACTCAGAAAAGAGCTGTCGAATATGCCTTATAAATATGGGGAAATTACATAAGCATTCTGTGTATGTCTTCATCAGTCCCTTCCCCACTGGTGAACAAAAACTTTTGGTATCTGTTGACACAGGCATCAATTAAGACAGGAATTTAGATCCCCAATCACAGGATTATCCATCATTAAGCTTCACAGTTCTGATCACTAACGAGGGGTGGAGGAGACCTCCTCTTGCTTCATACATAGCACGTGCTTGCTCCTACTGCTCCCTATCATCCTAGATTCTGAGAGGATTTAAGAGTTGTTTTCAAACAGCTGTCAGAACATCCCCCCCCTTCTTAAGGCCCTCATTAGAAAATAAAACCAGATATAATTAACAAACAAACAAACCTATCTGCCCGCTGTTCTGACTTGTTATAATAAGTGTTATTTCTCTTTACAAACAGTTTCCTGTCAGCATCCTGCTGTGTCTTTAATAAGACTTCAGCACTGGGGAAGAAAAAAGGTCTGCCTTAAAATTAAGCCTTGACTTGTCCCCACATCTCCTGTTGATCTGCATTCAGCTCCAACTTACCAGAGGTGGAAAGGAGCTAAGATGTCTAAACCATCGCTAAGAGAGAGAGGAGAAACCTTTCTGTTCCTAGAGAGGGCTGAAGGGTGGCGTTGCCATCAGATTTAGCACAGACATCCTCATTTCCTCATTCTTCCCTTGTGGTCAGCAGAAGAGGCGGAAGCTTCTTCAGGTTCCTGGGGCTGGCTTCCCAGCCAGATGATGACTTTCTAATATCCCTGATGGGGGCTGGCCCCATAACCTAGTGGTTCAGGGAGCCAGATCTCACATGGCTAACTTATGTGGTTTGAATCTATGCACCCGCAGCTTGAAAAACATGCCAGGCACATATGTGCCCCAAATCTCAAGAATTAAAACAAAACAAAACAAAACACTCAAAACTTGAGACCAGTAGGACTCCCATGTGGCCGACCACAGTTTGAATTCTGGATCCATAGGTTTGAAACTCATGCCAGGCATGGGTTCGTGCGTGCCCAAAATCCTGAGAGGAGAATGGAGGAGAGGGGATTGCAGCATGGCCATCCCCCAGGAGGTGATTTCTCATTTTCTGTCTCTCTGTCTCTCTCTGTCTTTTTGGAGAGCACACATACCCAATGGAGCCTGGTCATGCTACAATCCTTTTTCCTGCAACTCTCCACTGTCTCAGGATCCTGGGGTCTAACACACAAGTCTATTGTGCAAATCACAGGGGCCTAGACTCGAACCCTGGCCATCTGTGTGAGATCCAGCTTCCTCTGCACAGTGCTTACTCACTCTTATGGGGTGAGTTCAATGCTGGAATGGTATTATTAACTACCTCATGGGCTTTCCTCAAATTTCACTTTTCCCTTTGCCTGTTCTAGGAACTCATTCAGGACACTGCATTGCATTTAGATATCATGATTCTTTGGACTCCTCTGCTTTGGGACCATTTTTCAGGCTGGTTTTTTCTGTCCTTAGCATTTTGAAAGTGTATTGGTCCTCGATTGTGTAGGAAGGCTGGCAATTTGGGTATGTTTGAAGTTTTCTCATGATTAGACAAGGGTTATGCATTTTGGGGAAGAATATCACAGAGATAAAGTTTCCTTCTCATGGCTTATAACACAGGGCACATAGTACAGTATCAACATTTAAGTCTCTTTTAAATCTCTTTAATCTTTTTCTCTCAGTGCCCACCAAAATTTACTTCTTGAATCATTAGTTTTGTTTTGTTTTATTTATTTTTTTATGGAGATTTTTGCTATAAGGTATGTGTACTCACTGGAGAGACAGAGAGAGACAGAGAGATGGGGGATGGCTATGCTGCAGTCCCTACTCTTCCATTCTCCTCTTGGGATTTTGGGCACATACGCATATGCCTAGTGAGAGTTTTAAGCTGCTGGGTCTGGGACTTGAACCACCGCCAACTATGTGGGAGTTCAGTGATGTAACTATTATGCCATCTGCTGGCCCCAGGTCTGTTTTGTTTACTTTTTGACATTCAGAGGCCATGGTCACTGTTTAGGTTGAGTAATAGAGGCCTCTGTAAGAGTGGGCTGTTTCCAAACAAATGGAAAATGCCATCTTAATAATTCCAGGTTATTTTTTTCTCATGACATCACAAGACAGGGTTAAATGAAAGCCCAGGTTACGTGGTGGCCTTTGATTATGGAATGATACTGGAGGAAAAGGTCTGAGAAAAACACAACCTTGGTAGGAAATGTATTCTATTTTAAAAACAATTATTTATTTCATTTCATTTATTATTATTTTTATTATTTTTAATTTGGTTAGAGAAAGACAGAGAGAGAGGGAAAGTGAGAAAGCAAACTGCCAAGTCCCTGACTTGAACCATAGTTGGCCATGTGGGAGTCCAAGCACTTTACCACACCACCTGCCAGTCCCAGGAAATGCATTTTAACAAAATTCCTTGTAAGTTGGTTCCTGTGTCCTTGAAAGCTTTAGATGAGAAAACACACACACACAGACACACACACACAGGCCCAGCCTCAGTAGCATATGTAATAGCATGTTGACCTGTAGTGCTCGAAGTCATGTGGCTGACCACTGGTTCAGATCCTAAGTTGACCTGAAAATACTCAGTGTGTGTGCATGCCCAAGATCTTGATTAGCTAGAGGGTTGGGGAAAGGCGACCACAGTGTGACAAAGCCTGTCAAGGGTGTCCCTCTCTCTGTCATGTGTGTACATGTGCCTTTGTTTATGAATACAATACTTCTTTCTTTTTTTTTTCTTTTGAGAGGTTTTTCGCTAGAGGGCGCGTGTGCTCGCCAGACAGAGAGAGACACAGAGACAGAAAGCGAAAAATCACCCCCCAGGAGGGATGGTCACGCTGCAATCCCTTCTCCTCCATTCTCCTCTCGGGATCTTGGGCACGCACGCACATGCGCCTGGCGTGAGTTTTAAGCCACCGGGTCCGGATCGTGAACTGCGGTCGACTACGTGGGAGTCCAGCAACATAGCCATTACGCTAACTGCTGGTTCCCACTTCTTTCTTTTTTAGTTCTTCCTATAGAGCACGTGTGCTTGCCAGACAGTGAGAGCTCGAGAAGGTGAAAAAGCACTTCCCAAGGGTAATGGTCATGCCGCAATCACTTCTCCTCCATTCTTCTCTTGGGATTTTGGGCATGCACACATATACATGCCTGGTGTGTTTTTCAGGCTGCGGGGTCCAGGACTTAAACTGCAAAGTCAGCCATGTGTGATCCAGCACCTTTATCTATCTATCTATCTATCTATCTATCTATCTATCTATCTATCTACATATATACACATACCATGAAAAAGTATACAAATACATTATTGTTCTTAAAAAGAGCCTAGATGGGGTCAGCAAGTGGCATGGTGGCTAAGGGCACTGGATTCCTACATGGCTGACTGTG